ATATGACATGTATAGTAGTTGTAGTTGCAACATGTGTGTTTGCGAAGCATGCACGAGTGAGAGCTTGAGAGGCCATTTTACCATTATGCTGGGATATGCAGACATCATCTTGATTCAGGTTGTTCATAGCCCCTTCTTCTCTCCACTCTACTTGTCGCTTCGTGGCTCTTGGAGCGGAAAACAAGAACGTCTCAGTTCCCTAATACATTTCATCCAGGTCACGTTAATCCACAAATGTTGAATCGAGGCAACTGTGCTTTTTATTTGTTGGATTTGTTGGGAAGAGGGAGCGGGGGGGGGGGGCGTATTGTTTTTGGAGAACCTTCAAAAATTACTATAGCATGTATGCTATTATGCTAATCATTCAAAAAGTTTCTAAACACACTTTTGGGAGCAATTTGTATGATAGTATGTCATCGATATCCTGAAAGTTGGGGTGTGCTCATTCATGTTGTGCCATGTACATATATTTGCGATGGTTATGGACCATAACAAATGATAAAATAATGGAAACACAGAACAATATCAAAGTAAAATGAATTTTACGCCTTGAAATGCTGTTGTATTCAACAAAAGAAGGAGAGTGATTTCCTAAACAAAGTTTAGGATGTTGTGTCTCCGCACGCGCGTTTCTGAAAAGACTGTTCCGAAGCCCGTGCTTTCCAACTGTGTGTTGTCTGCCATTAGAGCAATAAAAGTCGTGTTGTGCCGCACTGCAAGGAGTTGTTGTCTCGAAGGCTCCTCCTATCTGCACAAATTGCCGGCTGCTGAGCTCTGATGGATGTTTGTACACTGGCCCAAAAACACAGATTCCACTTAAAACCTCCCAGTTCCATTATCCCTGAAAGAAATTGGGCAAGAGAAAGAAGCTGTCTGTTGCTCCCTTACCTCCATCATCTAAAAGTGTTTTAATTAAAGTGTGCTGGCCCCAGAACACACCCACCCACGCACGCACATGAAGTAAGAGGTTCATCCAAATTTGCATGGCATGCTTTCTAAGTGAACCGCCATCTCTCGCTCTGGTGCCATTCTCTCCCCACCCCTCACCCTTTAGTCTCCCCTCGCCCGCCCTCCCCGTGCCTCAAGAGTGACAGGCTATTTTTTTTTTTTTTTTTTTTCCCAGTTGGTGTTTTGACACCGCAAAATCAATGC